GTTCAAACAAACAGAAGTTAAGGTCAAACTATGGGGAAGTTTAGGGAGGACAGCAGCCATATTTCTCTCACCACCCCCGCCTCCCCACTCCCTGGAGTTTGACTTTTGACATTGTTATCATAATTTAGCCATTCAAAACACGGCCGCAGACACAATACAGGCTACAATTAGACAAGGAGAGCAGACTACGGGGCTGTACGCAGGTCTCAGTGGTCTGACCTCAAAAGCCGTGAGAACAACCGCGGACAAAGGGTGTACACTGCGACGCAGTAACAAAGAGACATGGACACCCGTGGGTGCGCACAGGTTTAAAAGCCAGACTTATCTTTAGCTTCAGTAAAAAGAGGAAAGTCTACACAGGTGGAGGCAACAATGACAAGTCTAGTGCGTGTGTCTTGTGCATGTGTTGAGGATTTAGAAGGATAGTAGAGGGTTTATTCAGCAAAGAAGGAAGTGCAAATGTAAGTTTCTCACTTTATTTTGCATTTCTGCTAAAGTATATTGGAAGTATATATTCTGAATGTGAATGTCATGTCGTGTCAGGAAATGCTGTTCCAGGTCACATTAAGAACATTCCAACTGAGGACCTTAACAATGTTTTTAAACTGTGGCTCATAAACAATCAAATCTGCAGGCAGAGTGTGAGCTAATAATTATAATGTTAATGGCCTTGTTAGTGTTGGCCCAAAATGATGACTTCCTGTAAAAACTACTTCTTAATGACTGATGGTTCAGATTCAGATTCATTTATTTGCCATTTGCAGTAAAACCACATTGGAAAAACTGTGCAAGACTACCCCAGTGTGCACCAGACGACACACACCAGAGCTTTTGCCACGGCGCCATCTTTACGGCGCCATAGTGACTATAATGAAGAGAAGTCACATAGGACAGATAATATTAGAAATGATTTGACACATGAATCTTCCTTACATAAATATGTAGAATAAAGATTATTTATTTACAAAAATAAACTGTTATTATTTGGATGATGCTAAACATTCAAATTAAATTCAGTGACAAAAATAATCTGGCCCTTATCTTCAATCATTCCACAAAAAGTGCAAAGATTTATTATTTTCAAACTCACATAGAGGGACCATAACTACTCTCTTTTGTATTTGCTCTCCATTATTATGATCATAACAGTGCCTTGGATTCGCAGTATTATTTGTCGGACATATTTTGTAGTTGTCCAAGATTGGACATGGCTACAGTCTGATGGGATTCACACTCCTTAGACCTCGGGCTAGCACCATTAGCGCGTAGCATCATTAGTCTGTGTCGGCTTGGTGCTGCCCCGCTGTTTTCTCGCATAACGCCACTGATATCGACTTGATGTATCGCTACGCAGCAAACAATCGTCTAAAAATAGTCCCCTGCTGACGACATTGCTCCTGGATAAGATAGGAGAGAGAGAGAGTGAATATGCATGAGGCCTATATGGCTGTGTGTCCAATAAGTCTTGTGTGAGCATGCTCCAAGAAGCACAGCTGTTCACAAGGATCTTGACTCGCAGATTTTTGGAGGGGCAGACAGAAAATCCAGAATTGAATTGGCTGCCAATGATCTCATTTAGCTTCTGTTGCAGTCAGGGATTGGATTAGCACCTATGACAGCTTGGGGGCGGAAAGAGAAAACCTTTGAATGTGGAAATGAAAAGATGGTGCACATTTTGGTTTTTATGTTGTGTTGTCATTTCTCAAAACAATTAATGTCGACCCATGATGAATGTAGGTATCAGCTCATTATAAAACATGCCAAGGAAAATGTAACTGGGTGTTTCATCAATGTCTTTATGCTAATTTACATTAAGTATAATGGTAAGAACTAGCCAATTCAGCCTGAATCATTGATTGTTGCTTTTGCTGCCCCCCAGTAGGTGGACTTGCGTCAACCAGCTCCTTTTTTCGAACTTGATTTATTTTTCGTTGTTTTCTAAATTCAAATGAAAGACTACAACAGCTATCCAACGTGTGATTTGGTTCCGTCACCTGTGAAATTTCCTAAAACTAAATTGGATTCATTTGAATATAATACTAAACCTTGAATTACAAGGCATTCAAATGAAAGGCTTGGTGTAAGATTATACCACAATCAATGTTTGGTATAAAACAAATAGAAAATACTATTGGTTTTAAAAGCTTAAACATTTTTATTAAAAAAGCCTTTGACCAAAGCCGGCATTTTCTATCATCAGTGCTGAAAAACAAGCGTACGTGTCTTGCCGTCTCGTCTTGGCAATCTCAAAGTGTTTAGAAAAATCTGACCATCTTTGCCTCTCAGTGTCTTGGGCGATGGATTTGAACGTCAGCAGCCCTGCGTTTACCTTGGCCTGATGCCATCTCACGGTGAGTTGGTGGAGGGGCACTTGTCGGAGCTTGTAGCAGAGAAAGCAGCTGTCTCTCCAGTGTATTTCTGAAGTGAACCCACATTGTTTAGGTTCATCACGGCAAAAACAATGAGCTTCAGGTGTCTCATCTTTCCAGACAAGTGCAGACTGATGCGTGAGCCGAGCATGACTGCACCAAGCGCTCAAAGCATTTTTCCAGATTTGAGGTAATGCGATCTACCAGAATTCAATGCGTGTCCTAAATGCAAAGATAGGAGATAACGGGACAAGGAGACGAAGCTATGTGGGCTGAGTAGCTGGAGGATAATTAAACAGACATGGGTAATTTGAAGATATTAATATGTTTTGTAACTCAATGACTGTGCCACCATATGCTGACATTAAGAACTCATAATTTCCCATTGTTTTTTTTGTTTAATGAAATAGCATAATAATGCTAACTCCCCAAAAGATGTCAAAAAATAAAGATTTCACAGTTCCTCAAACTATGGTCGCTTTTACCCGACTTGAAAGGATTTATTCATTAAGAAAGGTTTCAGCAATTAGCCACGATCAAATTAGAACAGGCCATTTAATTCAAACTAAAAGTAAAATAATGACATTTCGATATGCAGGATATGCAATAACATTATTAACATTATCACAAAACTCATATACAGACTCAAAAATCCTATTCCATACACATCCAATTCGTTCAGCAAGACGATTTATTGCATATTCACAATGATACCAATTGGAAACCCAAAGGAAGTGCAAATGATTAACTGCAAGCGGTGTTACAATATTGTCTGTGTGTACTTTCTGAATCAAACAGTATGTGTCTGATTACACTTGACGGAGGTTAAAGCAGCCTCACAGCGAGACGACCAAACACTGCAGAAACAGTTGCTCAGTGTTGAGTAAGACTGTTGCCTGTCTCCACTCCCTCTGACGAAGAAAAGGAAGACAAACTCTGCGTCCCAATTCTCTCCCAACCCCGGGATTAAACCCATCGCGTTAATATGTGCTTCTTGTCATGTTCGTACTGTTTGTTTGCGCTGGAAGAACACAACATCTCTCATGACGCAGGGTACAGGAGGAGGAGAAAAAGAAAGAAGATTTATCTGTGTGAGGAAAGAAAAAAAAGTCCCTTTGGGTAGATTACGTAAACCCCACAGATGATATCACCAAATCAGCACGGACAGGGAAGTGAGCAGAGAGTGGGTGTAAGGAGGATTCAGATGCTCTATGGAGAGAATGAAGGATCTGGATAAATACAAGAGAAATGTCCGCTGAGGGCCTTATAATCCTACCAATGGACAACCCAAGAGGCATTCTAAGGTTTAATGAAATGAGCTTTAATGATGCCAAGAATCCGCATGTTGATAATTAATTAGCAATTATGAAATGCGTTCAACAATAGGATGTGCTCTGAACTTGTACCTGTTCCAACCGCAAAATTAAAACTCTATCCATTGTCTATATGAACACAACATCTTGGCAATGAACTGTTGTGATTTCAATTAAAGACACGATGGAGCAGTGAGAAGCCAATAATGTATAATAGGCTTACGTTTAGTAAGTTATGCAATAGATACAGACAAAAGAAAAGATGAGATTGTTTTCTTGCCCAATTACTGACAAATAAGCACCAACATCCGCTGAAGATTCACAAACAAATTCATCAACAAAAAGGTATTTTCTGGTCCCTGTCACATCTTTACATAAGCTTTTTCAGACAGAAAGGTGAAAAAGAGAGAACTCCAATCAGATCACAGCCCAAAACATCAAATAGTGACTCCCAGAGCTTAATCTCACACAAATGCAAAATAAAAAGAGCTTGTTGTGGTCAAATGTGCTCACAACACTTTACTCTTTCAGTTGGGACATAAAAAAGGAAAAGTTATGTACAATTATGTATAAGTAATATTTTGTTTTTCCTTCATTTGAAACCCATGGCTTAGGTGGTCCCTTGTTGTGATGTTCTGCCTTAGATCCACTCCACTTTACATGCTCCCCTGACAGTAGTGATAGATGTTGTGACTTTCAAAAAATGCGAGTAGCGCTGAGCAATGTATAACAATGTATTTCACCGTGGGAGTCCATAGAGGTGTTTTATGCCGGAAGGTACTGTCGCCAGGCCTGTAAAACTAGACTCACGTGTTTATATGTCCACAAAGATACATTAGGCCACCAACACACATAGTGTGTTACTTGGAAATGTTTTTAAAAACAAAAAAGTAATGAGTTGGAGCATAAGTAATGATTCGATATGTCTATTTATACACAATTACTTTTTTCTTCAGCCGCCACTGAATTGAGTGAGTGGAATCTAGGCTGATAGGTCATTAAATGTCTTCTTTAAGCAACAACTAGATTTTTATTCTAAGATAAACATAATAGACAAATATTTGTTTTTATCAAGGTCAGACAGACATCAAGCATCAATTTTTGCCCCTTTGGAGATTTCCCATTCTACTCCGTGACACATAAACTCCTCAGAGATTGCAAATGTTTGTGGATGAATTACTGAGGCAAACATTAATATTTGCTTTCAGATATATAGGCATCAAGGAAAAAACATCACCGGCAAGTACAGACATATTTGAGGAGGGGGTGCGAAGGGAAAAGAATATGTGGAGCACAAACAGAAAAGAGTGGCGTGTACCTTCGAGTACGGTGAGTTTGGCGCTCGTGTTGATCTCGCCGGCTCCGTTGGTGGCGGTGCACTCGTAGATGGCTTCGTCTCTGTGCGTGCGCAGGGGCTGGATCCTCAGAACGGAGCCCGAGCCGTCGTCAAACTCGATCACCTGTAGCAAAAACGGTGAGACGAGTTTTCATTGATTGAAAGGGTTTAGCTTCAAAGGTCGACTATGGCTTCATGTTTCATCACCAAGTGCTTTCATTTTGTATGGTGATGGTTGTGAGGTCCATTAGTGGTAAGCAGATTGTGTACATGCTCTATAACATAGAAGGAGCTTGACAAGCAAATAATGTATTTAATGTAGGAATATTATGAAACAATCTGGTTACAATCTTTTGAATTTTCTTGTTTATTAACAAACCCAGGTGAAAACAAACCCCATGGCAAAGATTTGTTATGTACTGTATGACAACAAGCTACAATAGCTGACATCCTAATGGAAATTGGACTGTGTTTCCTCCGGGTGCTCCGGTTTCTGTGTAATGAGTGAGTGAACGGCTGGTGATGCTCGGAGCCTTCGAAGAGTCAGAGGTTTCGTCGTCTAACTTTTGTCAACACTCTGTAAGGAGTAAATGGAAAAACAGTACTGGAAAACTTTGAAAGACGTTTGGGTGACCATTTTCTGTGAAATGGGCTGTATAAATAAAGATGACTTACTACAAAATGCATTGGATAATATATTGTTATGGTCCACTCACTACAAACTGAAACTTATTTTCTATTCAAACCAATATGAAAGAAAAGCCAATGCACTGTTTTACCCAGTGATTGGTGTGTGTAAGACAATAAAGTTAATGTGTTCATTCATTTTTATTAAACTCTTCACGGCTACAGGAAAAGTTGTCCCCATAAGGAGCTACAACTTTGATCCCTTCCAATTGAGTTAGGGTTAACGGTATATACTGTAGGAGGATTTTCTACTTCAGGGTGGAACATCGAGACTATTGGTCCTCCCAACTATCAATCATTCTGGTGATACGTGCTCGTCAAATAAGTGGAGAGCGAGGTTCTTTCCTAAAATGTGGGAAAATCCTTCTATAAACCTTTAATTGTGTCTGGCATTAGTGCGAACCCAAAACTTAAAACATTGAAATAAGTGTTGATTTGAACATGTTTACTTCCTATCTGGGTCGATATTGCAAAGAAAGGATAAAAAGCTTTGTGGTTTGTGTTGACACTAAATCTTCCTAACAAGAGAAACACATTAATTTGTAGTTTTTTCCCACATCGTCAAACAAAAGCTTTTGTTTTCAGTTCCCACTTAAGGCTCTTCCTCCTGTTCCTAAGTTCAAAAGGAGGAGGAGACATACATCAAGAGAATGTATGGTCGCGGACGCTGGAAGTGAGGAGCAGAAAGATGAGGCTGTGAAGAGAGTGAAGGAGATGAAGCGGACTGTGTAAATCACGATGGGGCAGATTAAAGGGAAGGTAGTCTGTCTCCTCTGGCCTGGAGAGGAGGGAAGAGGTGTGAGGAGCCCAATAACAACCGAATGACTGTGCTGGTGACGGGAGAAGGCGTTTTAGATGTTAAACGATTAACATGATGGCATTTACAACACACAGGAGAATATCAAACGCTAAAAGGCATTAATGATCCAGTTTAATACACATTTAACAGTTCATTTCCAGTTTTTTATTAAGAACAGGAACAGATTTTTCTATTTGAACTAAATCATGTAAACAAAATGAAAAGTTAGGCTAACAATAGGATTTTAATATTGTTTGTGGGTCTACAGGGAAAGACAGGCACATTAAATATACCACTTTAGAAAAAAAATGCTTTATAAGTGCTCTCAAAGTTTGAAAACATTGTGACTTTTTTTATTATTATTCATCCTGTATTAATATTGTGGGCGGGGCTAATTGGTGTCAGAAAGTGGTGGTGGCTATGCTGTCTTGCTGAAGCGTTACATTTTCAGATACCTACATTAAATGCTCTTAATGAAAAAATCCTTTATGTTTTCTGCCTCCAGTTAAGCCCCGCCCACACCACACAGGTCTATAGACTTTGTGTTATCAGTGCCTCCTGGTCCATCCACTGTGGAGATTCAAGGGAGATCCTTTTTTTCCCTGTGTATGTTTCTCAACGGTGAGAGCTGAGTCCATACATCACACTTTTCCTTGTAGTCATTACTAAACATGCCATTTCATATCTGTCCCAATGACGCACTATGACAGATCCCATTGTGTCAACTCCCTCATACGTCCTTGTTGGCACAAAAGGTTATAAAATGGTGTGGGCTGTGCATATTTCAAGCATTATTTTGAAGTACTAAAAATCCGCTTTCTATTAGTTCACAGCATCAGTTGTGACAGTAACTGCAGTCAAAATACTGTTTATCCAAGACTATAATAAGATACTGGGGAGAGAAAACGAAGACTATACATTCTTCAAATATCATTGAGTTTTATAGGTACGCTCTAATTGGCATGATCTTAAAGCTGTTGAAAAGAGCAGCACTGGGTCATGGCGGAAGGCTCATAAGTGAGACAGAATAAGAGTGTTTTCCTAATGAACGCTCTTTAGTAACTTTACTTCTTTCACGATATGCCCGACTGGTCTGTGTATGTCCATATCTTTAAAGCATTTCTGCGGATGATTTGTCATGGTCCAGTGAGCTCACCTCAAAGCGCTGGGAGCTGACTTTCTTGCCTTTCTTCATCCAGGTGATTCTGGGCTTGGGCTCTCCTGTGGCCTGGCACACGAATGATGCAACGCCGCCAGAGATTCCCGTCTGGTCCTCCGGGGACTTGACGAAACTTGGCAGGCCTAAAGACAAAGGATCAGAGGAAGATAGAAAGTGATTAGATGACTAGAGAAAGAAAGAGGAGAGGACTGTGTTGGCTTAAGTTGTTATATATAGATAAGTGAACCTTGGATAGAAACAAAAGTGTTGCGTCATGGCGACAGCAGTTCAGTGCGTCTTTGGCTCGGGCTGTCAGTCCGCCATGTCTCATTTTTCATCTCGCCGTTGACATTCAATTTGAAGCTCACTTTTTATTTAACGCTGGAATGTTTATATATAGGACAGACTCCATGGGGCAAGGAGTGCTGGTACTACAAATGTATGTCGAACTTGCAGCACTTACAGACTGTGTGAAGTAGTATGAATACTACTAAAGGATATTTTTTATTTATAACATGTGTACTTCATATTTGGGAACTTAATCATAATTAAAATTCAAGCATATGGGTTATCACAAGGTGCATTTCACCAGGATAGAGGTAGTGGACCTGTTTTTTGCTTTGGTTCACCTAAATGTCGTTTTTTTTTTTTTTTACATCCATACAGTTTCCTTTTACATTGAACAAAAGCTCTGCTAAATTACAAGGTATATTTGTAGAATTCAAATGGAAAAGCAAATTATACTCAATCTCAAGAAACAGAACCTATAAACAACAGAAAACAGGCAAATATGACTCCCAGGGGCCTCATTTATATATATATTTTAAAAAAAGGTAAACATTACGCACACTTTTCACATAAGTTTATGAGATTACAACTAAACTTAGAATTAAGTGACTTGGTCAAAATTTTGAGATGAAACACAACCAGATCTCTTCTGAAGATCTGGGGCCGTATCCGCTCTAGTCAAGGTAACAAATGATATTCGGCTTAACACTGATGCAGGAAAAGTCTCTGTTTTAGTCATGTTAGATCTGAGTGCCGCTTTCGACACCGTTGACCATGAGATTCTCATGCAGAGACTGGAGGACTGGGTTGGTGTTGCTGGTACCGCCCTAAGCTGGTTTAGGTCCTATCTAGAAGAAAGGAAGTATTGTGTGGAGATTGGAGACTATGTCTCAGATAATATGGCCCTGACCTGCGGAGTGCCACAGGGGTCGATTCTGGGACCTCTCCTGTTCAATATTTACATGCTGCCATTAGGTCAGTTAATTCAAAGTATGAAAGTGTCCTACCACAATTACGCTGATGACACTCAGATCTATGTCTCACTGACTGCAGGAGAACATGGACCGGTGGACTCACTCCTTCGCTGTATCCAGCGGATCAGTGAGTGGATGCAATGCAATTTTCTCCAGCTAAATGCGGACAAAACCGAAATGATTGTCTTTGGTCCCGAGAAACAAAGAGAGACCGTCATTTGTCACCTTCAGTCTCTCTCCCTAAGGCCTTTAAATAAGGTCAGAAATCTGGGAGTAATAATGGACTCTGACTTAAACTTCAATAGCCACATTGGATCGGTAACATCAGCAGCTTTTTATCATCTGAAAAATATTGCCAAAATTAAAAATATTGTGTCCAGGGCAGACTTGGAGATTCTTATCCATTCTTTTGTTTCCAGTAGGCTGGATTACTGCAATGGCCTGCTCACAGGATCTCCAAACATGCAGTAAAACAGCTGCAGTATATTCAAAATGCTGCAGCCCGAGTCCTGACTAGAACCAGGAAGTACGACCACATTAGTCCGGTCCTCAGGTCTCTGCACTGGCTTCCCGTGGCCCAGAGGATAGACTTTAAAGCAGCTCTCCTGGTGTACAAGTCTCTCCATGGCCTTGCACCAAAGTACATCCATGATATGCTAGTCCCATATGAACCAGCCCGGACTCTGAGGAGCGCAGGGACGGGACTCCTGTTAGTGCCCAGAGTCAGGACTAGACAGGGGGAGGCTGCGTTTCAGATTTATGCAGCTAAAGTCTGGAACAGTCTTCCTGAGGATGTGAGACTGGCTGCCTCTCTGTCAATGTTCAAATCCATGTTAAAGACTTTTCTTTTTTCCTGTGCATACAACTAGAGAATTTTATCGTTTTAACACACCTTGTTATTTATTGTTGTAACTTTTTGTGTTTTTAACTATTTTATTGTTTTTAATTACTTGTGTGATTCTTATGTTTTTAAATTACTTATGTGATTTTAATGCTTTTTAATTACATATGTGTTTTTAATTGTATTTTAATGGTGATGATTTGTGCATTGTGTGGTGTGGACTGTGAGGCGCTTTGTGTTGCCCTGTGCAGGAAAAGCGCCCTATAAATAAAGATTGATTGATTGATTGATTGATCCCTAAAGATTCTCAGAGTCCTCTCAGAGAGCTCCTATCTTAACCCTAAAACTCCTAGCTAGGAGTCTTAGCTTAAAAGTTATTCCAGAACACTCTTAGAGAACTCTGAGCAAGGAATGAACAACAACTCTTATCTTAGTGAGGAGGCGTGGCCGACCCCGTCGCTAGGTATGAGTCATCATTTCAGACGCTGTGATTGGTTGATCCTAAAAGTTTGAGAAAACATATTTTTGATGATAATGGGCAAAATAAGGATCTTCTAATGGACAAACTTAATCATAGAATCTAATCTTAGGAAGACTGTGTTATTGTTAATAATAGTCAGCAGAAAATGTAGAAAGTCAGAAATATCACTGTTAAATTAATACTGTGAAAGTTAGACTTTACCACATCATTAGAGCTTCCTCAGCACCAATTTATGACACATATTTAACACACGTATATATCATGAGCTCTTATATACTGTGTGTATATATATATATATATATATATATATATATATATATACTGTATATGATGATAATGTTAGGATTAGTAAAGGCTGTGATACTGTAAGACATTTAAGGAATTAAGGGAAAAATATTAATATAAACGTATTATTTATACACTGTACAAATCAAGGTCATATTATTGTAAATGTCACTGTTGTTAACTGTAAATATACCACGGCATAAACTAAGTTGTAGCAACCACATCATTTAAGTTCATTTAGAATAATAAATAGAGAGTGGGAGTTTAAACGTATTAACTTCTTCTCACTCTGTTTTGAGCTGAATTGTTTTTAATAAAACAAAACTGTACATTTGTACTTTTTCTATTCTCCTGTTGTTTTGTTTGTTGTTGTCCTTTTTGCCATGGCTCGAAATAAAGTATTCATTCATTCATACTGAATGTGTGAAAGGCCCACTTGTACAGTATTAACACAATAAGTTATATTTACTTGCTTTTATTAATTAACATGATGGTCATTTTTTCTCTTAAAACTTTTACCATTTCTACTTTTGTGTAACAAGTGTAAAATGGATGAGGTGTTTTATTGCTGACCAGCCAATAAAAAGCTGGTCACATGATTGACTTTTAAATATACCACAAACATGATTCCTGCACGACTCAATCTGCAGCGTTTCACTGATTCACCGTCCTCCAGTGTATAAAATATTTCTCCTGCTTCTACCGTCCACCATTTTGTCTCTTAGGGAACTTTAAGTCGCTAAAAGTCCTCCTCTCAACTCTTAAGAGAGCTCCGAAGGTGAGATCCCTTAAGAGCTAGGATTCTTTAGGAATAGCTTTTATCTTAACTAGGAGCTACTCCTCACTTTTAGGGGAAATTCTAAGAGTTGGTCAAGATTCTAAGAAAATTCTTAGAATTTGGCCATTAGGAGCAACTTTTAGCACTAAGAATCTTTAGGAATAAGGCCCCTGATCTTGTTATTGGTACACACTTTTCTTGTAAAAAAAATAAAAATAAAAAACAGTTTATAAATGAGGCTTCAGATCAGAAATAATCTTATCCAAGAATCTGATTATTTTACCAAAGTGGTAGTCAGCATTGTTTGAAACGAGATTTAACAGACTGAAAAAGGTTGTTTGTCTGAAAATTAGGATTAGGATTAGGATTAGTACATTATGTTCACTATGACCTGTTAGATAATACAAACGCAGTCGTACACAGCTGACTCTCTCGACGCTCACCCCCCTTCGTTTGCCTGGCGGGCGGATTGGGCAGGCACCACACCCTTCACTTTTGTGCACAGAACAAATCAGCGTTTGTTTCAATGACAGGCCGTCAAAGTCTACACCAGTGCAGTGTGTAAGATCCAGCAGGCTTTGGTTACTGCCTTCAGAAGTGCATGATACCTGTCTGCTTCTGATAACATGACACCCTCTGCCCCTTTCCACCGGATTTGAAGCCTGGTGTTATTAGCAAAGACGTGAAGATGTCTATTACAACAGTAGCGAGGTAAACAAAACACTGCCATATTGGGTGCCTTTGGCCACAATATCACCGTACATAATTGACAGAGAAGCCCACAGGTTTTTTGCCAATTCTTTTGAATTCTCCTTCAAGGTAGAGGCAAGATTTTCTTTGTGAAGAATATATGATTTTTGTTTTGATGAAATATTGAGTACAGGTGAAACTGGGGAAATTTGAAATATGAGCATTCCAAAAGTCCATTTACTTTTGGAATTCAACTTACAATGTGACACTAATGTATGATGAAGACTAATTATGTGATCAGGGAAATATATCAAGCCTTTATTTCTTATTATGATGATAGTTGGCTCACAGCTTGTAAAAACCCCAATTAAATTATCTCAAAATATTTGAACATGGACTGTAAGCCATAATCAACCGAATTGGAATGTTAATTTAAGTTTTGTGCAAAATATTTTTCACCTCGGCCTATATAAGCAGAACCTATTATTAATATCAGGCATATATTTTATTGCTACTCAAGTTATGATTTTTTATATTAATTTATTTATTAATGAATAAGTGCTAGTAACCTCACTGACCAAAACACATATACGGCATTAGAGAGTTGAAGTATCATTGACGATGTTATTGTCTTTTTATTGTGTGACTAAGAGTTGGCTTCAAGAAATCCCACCCAAAGATGTCCCTGAGCTAAGACCGCAGACTGGTGTTTAAAACCACATCAGGACATGAGGTGGTTGTATAAAAGCAAGACCGTGCAAGCTGTCCTGGCTGAAGGTTTCGACCATTGGAGAGAGGAGCAAGGC